ACCAGGGAAACAATTCTTCCATAGACAACAGATGGGCACCTAACCTGGGGGGAAATGAATAATGGACATGGCCTTTTTCATCACCATTTTTCAGTTTCAACCTGACTTACTCATGCAATATACAAGATGCAGCCTTGTATCTCTGGCATCACTTTGTTAGAGGATTAATTGCCCATTCCCAGGTTATATAGCACTGGCTTGAGTCCTTTGATGTCTCTCACACCACATTTTGTTTCAGCCTTATCTGTGACATGCTTCTTCCTTAGTTATTGCACTTGACAAAGTTTTCAGTAAGAAGAAAGTAGTGGCATAGATTTAGCTATGGATCTGAAACATTGTGACATTCAGGTATTTCATAAATGATGTGCTTTGTATATAGTTGCTGAATAAATGATTGAATGGATGAATTTTAGAGCAATACAATAATGGGTTTAATTCATTCACTGCAGGACTCAGTTGGGGAAATTTTGAGATGGATGCCAAATCAATTTATGCTCAGAAAAAACCAAAAGCTTTTTGCTCTTAACATAATGGGGAAAGCCTTGACATTGGCTTTAGCTGTTTAACCTGATATTCAGAATATGCAGAAGCATGTTAAAGCTGGGCCATGCATTTATAGTCTCTTTTGGTGACAGATTGGAATATTGTTTTTATTTTAGCCACCTTTCCTCTATAGAATGCACATTTCCTATCTAATAATAGACAAACATGGTAATTGACCATACCTTCGCTACACCTCCCATTGGCTAATCAGTGTGATATGCAAATTAATGGCCAACAAAGATGGCGGCTAATTTGCATAATTCAGGCAGGGCAGGTCAGTGCGAGCCGCCATCCGAGCCCCTGTGTGCCGCCTAAGCCCCGCCCCCAGCCGGGACCCCCGTGTGCAGCCCTGGGTGGGCGGGACCCCATCTGCGGCCCTGGGCGGCGGGGCTTGGTGGCGCAATCAGCCTGAAGAAGCCCTATTCTTGCAGGAATCCTCCTGCAACGGGCTTCTAGTTTTCGTATAACTATGTCCCTCTCTTCAATGTCATGCTATGACCAGGTCACCCTCTGTAACAGCAGAATCCTTTCATCTTTACCTGGGGCATATTTTATAAAGACAAGCTTTTGATGACCAGAGATAACCTGCCAGGGTAAATATACCTAACTGTGGTGGATTTGGGACTGACATCTTAGGACTGACGTCTCAGGCTTTACTGCTGCATTAATCCTCATGTTTACAAACAATAGAATGCCTTAATGAATTCCTAGACCCTGAGGATATCCTAGAATCTCCAGGCTCTCTTACTCACTGTAATATGTTACTTATGTATTAATAAAATGGGAGCAGAGGGAGAATATGACAAATCATGTTTCCCCCATCCTCTAATGAAATGTTTTTGCCTGTATCTCACTGCTCACTATCCCCAACAAGGATACAAACACAGACAGATGCTTCCCTCCTACCTTCCTCTCCTTGTTTTCCAAAAAGACAACAGACAAATTGGAAAGGAAAGCTACTAACAAAGCCTTCCACATCATCTCAGGTTAATACATATGTTTAAACTATTGACTTATTGGAGGAGAGGCTCTGTTTTCACCATGTAAACCACTCTAGTATCAGTAGTGCGGGGAGAATAAGATCGGCGAGGTAAGTGGGTTTGGTTCCATCTAGGTCTCCTGGAGCTCTCCAATCATATCACATGCACACCTGCTGCTTCCATCTATGTTTCCAAAAGGGAAATGCAATAATATCGAACATTTGCTCCTTTCTCATAAATGTGATGCCAAAGATGTGCCCTGATCTTATGAGGCTCAGACCACTGATTTTTATTCATTAGTATTTAATACTATAAATATAGTAGTTTGCCTTTCAAAAAATGTAGTAATTCACAATCTCTGCTTTAAAGAAGGTATGAATCCATGTGAGAAATATTGTCATCATTAGATTGCAAGCTATTAGAATGCGAAGAGAGATGAATATATATTCATGTTATATATACATATAGCATATTATCCCTTAAATCACACTGTGGCCTGATCCATACAACTCTAGAATATAAATATATATATATTTTTACCTAAATAGTTTTAACATAAATACAGAGGATTGTAAATAAATTGCAAAATCCAGATCAGTCATTGCTGTCATTGTTTCTAATGACATTTTTTCATAAACAAGGTTGTAGGTTGATATTTTAAAATCATACGTGGTGACCTTTACAGAATTGCTGCTTCTTTATAATTATCTCATGGACATAGATGACTAATTAGGTACCAAAAAATTGAAAAAGATAGAGAAGGAGGAAGAAAGGGAGGGAGGAAAGAAGGGAGGAAATGTAGAATAGGTACTTTTCTTGTGCATGCCAAGAGCTAGATTTGGACCATGGACCAGTGTTTATCTTGCTTTCCAAAAGCTTCAATGTCCTTTTCTCCATTCATTTTGACCTGAATGTTTCTTTTCTCACACCAAATGCTACCAATAAGTTGCGGGTTGACATGAATCCTCACATCATTTAATGCCATGAGGCTGGGTTTTTGCATGTGGTACTTCTCTTGAATCCAGGGGGCAGTGAGTGATGTTATGGGGTGCCAGTGGCATTCCTAAAGTGAATGCCAGTTTGGCTTTAGTGTGTAAGATTGCTAAGGAGCAAGCCTCTTTTTGAGCTGGGACAGTCCTCTGTGATTGGTAACATCATTCTCATATCTGATGGCATTAAAAGCTTACATGCTAGCAATGGAATGGTAAGTGTTATATTATAATCTCACTTTTAAATGTTTTCTAAGAAGTCTCAAACCAATCTGTATGCAAAGCAGTGACATCTCAGTAATAAGCTCTTTATCTAGGAATGTTATCTTCACATTTTTAGCTGAATTGTGATCCATATCACAAACTAAATATTGGATTTTTTAAATAGTATCTTTAAAAGGATGCCCAAATAATCCATCACTCAGATATATCTCTGAAAGGAGAAAATGCCCCTTTCTTTCTCACCTCTCGGTGATATTATTGCATATAAGGCACTTTAAGCTTATAGTTGTTTGGTTCAATGCACTCATACCAGGGTGTTAATGAGGCCAAGGTCATGGAGGCCAGTGAGCTTTCTTTGCTCTGTACTGACCACAGACTACTGGGAGTCCGTCAAGAGACACTGGAACAGATGAAACTGATACCATAGCAACATTTCAGCACTTCTCACAGTCCATCCTTCTCCTGGGATGGACAGGATGTCTTTCTTTCATATCATCTTAAGGCAGGGGGAGAGGAGGGGAGTAGCTTGGGAGGCCCCAACATTTACCTCTGAACAAAGCAGGCCTGACATTTAGGCATTAACTTTGCATTATGATCCCCCATCATACCATTGATTTGCTGTGTAACCTTCATCAGTAAAGCAGAGATAATAGGATAGAATGAAATGGGCTTACCTCCCGGGGATGTTGTGTGCATTAGCAAATTAACGAGTGTGAAGCTTTAGCGTTTATGTAAGTGCTGGTGGTTGTCATTATTTGTAGGGACCTAGTCTCATTCTAAATAGAGAATTTAAGTATATTATGCCTCTGTCAGAAGGATTTGCACCCACATCAATTGCATTTAAGCCGAGCATAAAACAGAGGTGATAATAACATAGTACTGATCATCTCAATGCAGAGCTGTAAACCTTTTTCCTATTAAAGCTAAAACTATTTTCAGCAACTTTCAATACTTTAAAACTTTGCTTTTCAAGCTTTGTGCCAACAGTTATCTCGACAGTGATTATTTTTCTTGTGACGGGTGAAGGGAATGGGGCCTATTCATTATTCATTCTCACTATGACTATATAATGTATTGAACTTGTTTACATCATACAATCAGGCAAATATTCAGTAGCTGCAATCATTGCAAAAAATCAAAACTCTTTCCTGCTCTGCCCATGCTGCTGTCCTGTAGTGGTAGCCAGTACACAGAGTGAAAACTCACGGAGAATTGAAGTGCTTTCCAACAAAAGGCCCTGTACATAGAGCCTTTCAATTTAATGTGTTGACCAAGAAATTCTGTTGTCGCCTGCCACTTCCAAGGGGATTGTGCTTGAGAAAATTCTTCCATTTCTTGTATCACTCTGACTTCACTTAACCAAGAAAAGTCACTTAGTGCTGATTGCAGAACTCTTGAACTCAGCCCGGCAGCTGCTGCATGAACTCCTCAGATCTGGGCTCCATGTTACTTATTTACATAATAGAGGCCCGGTGCATGAAAATTTGTGCACTGGGGGAGGGGGGCCTCAGCCCGGCCTGCACCCTCTTACAATCTGGGACCCCTCAGGTCTGGTCCCTAGGCCTGGCCTGAGATCAGGGCCTATTGGGGCTTTCCTTCCCCCGGCTGCAGGCAGCTGGTCCCACCCCGCCACTGCCGCTACTTGCCATCTGTGCAGCACAGCCCCCTACTCCCCTGCCATCGGTGGCCTCCCTCTGCAGGCAACAGGGGTGGGGTGCGATGGCTTGGCTGGCCTGTGCCTCCCTCTGTGGGGCAATCGCTGGCCACTTTACACCTGCCACAGAGTAGCCACTGGTGGCCCAGACCTCCCTCTTTTGTTGCTGGGGGGCGGGGCCAGCCCTGCGAGGGGCCGTCTGACTATCTGATCACCCCTAACCGCTGGCCTGCCCACCTGATCACCCCTAACCACTGGTCTGCCTTCCTGATCACCCCTAACCACAATGCCTGCCTTCCTGATCACCCCTAACCACAATGCCTGCCTTCCTGATCACCCCTAACCACAATGCCTGCCTTCCTGATCACCCCTAACCACAATGCCTGCCTTCCTGATCACCCCTAACCACTTGCTTGGGGGCAGGGCCAGCCCGGCAAGGGGCCATGGTGGTTTTGGTCTAACGGTTGTTCCAGTCATTGTGCTTTTATTATATAGGATTCATTTGAAGTGATTTTTCAGGACTATTTGAAACCCTCTCTCAACCTGACATCCTGTAATAGCTGAGATCTGAAGCTCACCATGTTTTTGGTTCTTTTTCTCTTTGTCTTACAGATAACAGACGGGTACCTTTGGAAAGGTCACGCTCTCGCCACAATGGAGGTATCTCCGCTAAGTGAGTCCTGATGCCAAAGAATATAAAAATATTTCAGTAAATAAAATCATTCATTTTGAGAACAAAACATGCACTCAAGGGATGGAGAAGAATCAGTGCATTTCTGCAAAGATCAAGCCAAGCCGGATGAAACAGCCTGCATTTGTAAAGCTATTGCAAGACTCCTCCCACAATCATACTAATATGAACACAATTATTGGGATTCTAAAATGTGTGTTCCATTTTAGTGTAAAGATGTGTATTATTTGTTATTGTGTGTGACCTAACAGTGATGGTGAAAAGTGTAAGAAATTGAAGAGCTCTAAGGCTTTCAAATCATTCAGTCTGTCAGAAACGTACAATGTTACTCAACTTTGCAGGTCACCTCCCCCACAGCCCCTCCCCCCCCCAAAAAAAAAAGGAAGAAAGAGAAGAAAAGGGGTAGAAAAAAAGAATGACTCAATATCTGCTTCTGATTCTTGTTACATAGAAAAGGAAAAGGCCAATGAAAAAGTATGTGTTAGTAATATGGAGCGGCAGTAAGAGACACCATTTTGGAATCTCAGCAAAAGTACTGCTTCGCCCCTGTCTAATTAGTTAGAATCTTATCTCAAGTGAAAGCTGATGGATTCATCTGCTTTGGCTGAAATTAAACTGATCATTAATCTAAAGTTTCAGCATGATAGTGCGGGCACTTTTCATTGCTAAAAATAAACCAAAGTTCAACAGCAGCAAAGTGATTTAAATTTTATTTAAAGAAGTGTTTTCTAATTATGCACATATATCAACTTTATATAAATACTTTATATGGCTATTTTTGAGAAAAACTTCACATCTTAATGTTTAGGTGAGGGATGAACCTAAAAATTCTATTACCTTTATTTAGATTTTTAAAGGTAAATATTGATTCCTAATCTGTGTGGTTTATTTCTTCTCTCTACTCTTCTTTCTCCTATGATCCCCTTGGAAGCAGGGAATAGAATTCTCAGAGACCTGAGAGGAAAAAGATTTCTCTCTGCAAGAGGCAGCAGAAAACTGAAAGGTCAATTGTTTTATCTGCCTTTCTACTCCCCTTTCCAATTCTGCCTCGGTGGTCTGAGGAAGAAAAACCAATTTATGTATGTATGTGTACATATGTGGATATATTTATATCTCCTGCTACAGTAATTCCACATCCCAGTGACTAAGTGAACTTCTGAGTCATCATACTTACTTACCAATATTAACAAATTTAAATGCTGCCGCCATAAACAGCTCTAGGAAGAAAATAGGCTCTACGTTTTTCTTAAATTGATGAGAGAGTAACGATTATATTTCAATTGTCTATTATTTTAAAGTATGCATTGAAGTAATGTGGTATAACTTCTCTGGAGTGCAATTTTAAGACCAATCCATGCAGATGATTATTGTAAAAGATTTCTTATGTGTATATATCTTACATAGAGAATCCTATTTCTCCTCCAAAGCACATTGTAGACATTCAGAAAGAACAAAGGACTGACTTGGCAAGTCACCACATGAGATAAAGACAACTAGTGGCCAGTTTCCTTTCTGCAGATGTGTGATGATTCAGTGCTGCCTTTCCCTCCAGTGCATTCTTACTTGGGTGTCATACTTTACAAAGCTCTAAAGCTGCTATGATAGAGAAATCAACAAGAATTACAGTATCTGAGATGTTACAGTTTTATCTCCTCTTAAGACACTCACATAGGCACACACATACACAAATTTAAAGGATATACTAATTTCACATAATTTTTTAAACAAAGATATTGGTTCTACTAATTTATGTAAATACTTAACGTGTGTATTTTTGACTTCAACAAGTCATTTCTGAAATCTTCATGGTATGGCTTCTTTGAATCCTTTGATAGCTTTTTAGGCCTGGGGAAATATTTTGAAAAATTAACCCTGACTAATGTGTAGGGGCATTTGCCATGCCATATTACCAAGCTGGTCAAGGTAGAAATACTGATGTATATCACCTTTTCCAGATGTGAACTTGCCTTATTTTATAGTTTGTGAAAAAAAAAAGAACTATTATTGATAAAGTATATATTTGTATTTAAAGTAATCCCACCTGCTTTTCACAAATATTATGAAGCCTTTTCAGGGTCTTTCATGAAGTTCCAATAATTGAGTTCAGGGAATTGCTTCCCAGATTTATAATGATCCTGCTCTAGCTATTTGCAGTCTGGGGTTAGATGGAAACGTATCACCAAAAAAGTGCATCATGACATTTTTAGTATGGAATCAGATTATACTGAAGTCTCTTGTTGGATTTATTACTACCACATGTGAGAAGCACCAGTTTATGAAGATTTTCTTCAGAATGTTTTAAAAAATTACAAAGCCCTTAAAATGTTTACTAGTTGTATTAGTTTCCTTCGGCTGCTATAACACAGTATCACAAACTCAGTTGCTTCTTAACCCATCAGAAATTTATTCTCTCGAGATTCTGCTGCCCAGATGTCTAAAACCAAGGGCCATGCTCCCTCCAGAGGCTCTAAAGGAAAATCTGTCCTTGCCTCTCCCTGCTTCTGGTGGCTGTCGGCATTCCTTGGCTTACAGTCACATCTCTGCTCCATTTTCACATCACCTTCTCCTCTGTGTACCTAATCTCCCTCTGCCTCTCTTAGGGACACATTTAGGTTGGCATTTAGGGCCCACTCAGATAATCCAGGATAATTCATCTGAAGACCCTAAACTTAATTATACTTGTAGGACCTTTTTTCCAAATAAGGTAGCTAATTCACAGATTCTGGGATTAGGTTATGAATATCTCTTTTTTGGAGGCAACCCTTAGCCCACAATAGTTGCCTTTGCTCCCCTCCCCAAATTTAGGTCTGTCCCATGTGCATGAAATCTTCACTCCATCTCAACCTTGTCAACACATTACAGCATCAAGTCTAAGTCTAAAATTTCATTCAAACATTATCAGTTCAAGAGTTCCAAATCTCACCATTTAGATGATCTAAATTAGGTATAGAAAATGCCTGAAGCAAAATTCATCTCCATCTGTGGATCGATACAATAAGAAAACAAATTATCTGCTTCCAAAATACAATGTTGGGACAGGCATCTGATAATGGTTATGGGCATTCCTATTCCAAAAGGGAGAAAATGGAAAGTAGGAAGGCGTCATCTGTCCCGATGATTTTCTTTTTTTTTTTTTTTTATTGATTTCAGAGAGGAAGGAAGAGGGAGGGAGAGATAGAAACATCAATGATGAGAGAGAATCATTGATTGGTTGCCTCCTACATGCCCCCCACTGGGGACCGAGCCCAAAACCTGGGCATGTGCCCTGGACCGGAATCGAACCTGGGACCCTTCAGTCCCCAGGCCAATGCTCTATCCACCGAGCCAAACTGGCTAGGGCTGTCCGGTTGATTTTCAAAATTCAGGCAGCAAAATCCTCTTAGGTTTCAAGGCCTGACAATAATCCTCCTTGTCTCAGGGCTCTACCTGTTAGGCCTGCATCTCTGCCCGCTCTGCCCATGGCTTTCACTTCTGCTTCTGCTCCCATGTTTGGGCCCCTGTACCTGCAGTCCTAATGGGTGATCCTTTACATTGAAGGATCCTTTACATTGTAGTTTTATCAGCTTGTTTGTTGCCTGTAAATTTTTAGTAGTCTGAAAACCTTCTCTCATCTTGTCCCATCTCTGTCCCTTTAAGGCCAACCTAGAAGTATTTCTGCTGGTATAACATTTTCAAAAACTCTGTGGGCCTCCCATGTATGTCACATTGATTCAATACTGAGACAAGAGAGTCCTCAGAGATCTTTGCCAGAGAACCCCATCTCTATTCCTGGCTTCAATTGAGATGGTTGAGTGGATCCATGAGTCAATACCTAATCTTTCCAGCAGTAGCCAAAGGTTGTCCAGCCACACCCTTAGCTTTCTCTCCAGAGCACACCTCCTAAAAGCGAGTCTCCTAGTTTGAGCATATTTTACAACCTGAATAGGCTCAAAATGTTCTGAATCATCAAGTTCTGGTTCCTTTCTGTTTAATAGGTCTTTCCTCAATTTCTCTCTTTCCTCTTATATTTTAATATAAGCTTAAGAAGAAGCTAGGCCATACCTCTAATGCTTTGCTTGAAAATCTCAGTTAAATATCCTAGTTCATCATTTACAAATTCTACTTTCCATGCAACTGTTTGAGACAATTCAGATAAGACTTATGCTGCTATATAACAGGGATCGCATTTCTTCTAGTTTCTAATAAAATGTTCCTCCGTTCCTTCTGAGCCCTTATCGGAAGCACCTTTAATTTATATTTTTACCAATAGCCTGCTTAAGTCAATCTATGCTTTTCCTATCAGATGCATCACATTTTTTCCAGCTTCTACCCATTATCCAATTTCAAAGCCACTTCCACATTTTTAGTTATTTGATATATAGCAGAACCTTACTTCCTGGTATCAAATTATGTATTAAGTTCCTGTGGCTGCTGTAACAGATTACTGCAAATGTGGCCGCTTAAATCAACAGCTATGTATTTATTATCTTACTGTTTCGTAGACCAGAAGTCCTAAATTGAGGTGTCAGCAGGGCTGTACTCCCTCTGAAAGCTCTAGGGCAGTGATTCTCAACCTTCTGGCCCTTTAAATACAGTTTCTCATGTTGTGACCCAACCATAAAATTATTTTCGTTGCTACTTCATAACTGTAATGTTGCTACTGTTATGAATCGTAATGTAAATATCTGATATGTAGGAGGGTCTTAGGCGACCCCTGTGAAAGGGTCGTTTGACCGCCAAAGGGGTCGTGACCCACAGGTTGAGAACCGCTGCTCTAGGGAAAAATCTGTTCTTTGCCTCTTCCAGTTTCTTTTGACTCATCAGTCCCTGGCTTGTGGCCAAATCACTCTCAGCTCTGTCTTCAGAGCACCTTGCCCTGTGTATCGAATCTACTTCTGCCTCTCTTATAAGGACACTTGTGGTGGCGTTTAGGCCCACCCGGTTTAGCCATGATAACCTCTTCATCTCAAGATCCTTAACTTCATTACATTTGTGAAGACCCTTTTTCTAAATCAGGTAACATCATAGGTTCTGGGAATTAGGACATGAACATACCTTTGGAGAGTCACCATTCAGCTCACTACACTTTTCGCTTTTTAAAATGCATCCGTGGTGCTCAAGCCAAATTCAAGGTTGTCTAAAAGATATTGTCTGTACAGGCTACTGCATGCTTTGATGTTAAATGGCTGAACAGGCCATTCTAAAATTTGGTTGATACTTTTGCTACTATGGTCAATTTGCTTGAAAAAATAATTGGTTCCAACTCTGAGCTCTAGTGTATCTCTTCTGGCCCCTTTATGGAGTCTTTGACCAAATGTTTTCTATGACTCATAATGCAGGCATAAAACTACCTCTGATACAGAAGGGTTCTTTACAAATTTGTTTTAGATACCCCTCAGCTGAAGGGAGAGGTGACAGCCTGCTTTGAATGGTATTGAGGGAGACTATGCCGATACCAAGACACCCAGAAGTATTTCAGTAGCAGCAGAACTGTGGATTCCTGCTCTCATTTTGCCTTGGAATAAACACCTGTCTTTTTGCAGGACCAAGAATGATTTGAAATTGATATGTATGCATACCTACTTATTCAATAAAGTTAAGATACACATTAAATGTTGTGTTGCCTATGATCATTGATATTCAGGATGAGTGTAAAGGCATACACTAAAGTATCAAGACAGGATGTAAGAACATTCTAGAAAGAAGCTCCAACTGAAAAGAAATGCAAGTGAGAAGGGTGATTGACATCCTCCAGAGAAACTGTTTCTACTGAAAAGGGTATTTTGGGTTTTTGTCTTGATTATAGAATGAAAGGAAATGGGCTTCAAATACTCAAAGGAGTAAAAACCTGGAATCCTATATAATAAAAGCCTAATATGCAAATCGACCAAAAGGCAGAACGACCGGTGGAACAACAAGTCACTATGACACACACTGACCACCAGGGGAGAGACACTCAATGCAGGAGCTGCCCCCAGCCTGCAGACCCCAGGCCAGTCAAGGTGTGTGCCAGCAAGGGCCTCCTGATCGCCCTGCCAGTTGCCCCACAGATTGGCCCTGATCGCCGGCCAGGCCTAGGGACCCTACCTATGCATGAATTTCATGCACTGGGCCTCTAGTAAGTCATAAATGATTACAGATGATTATTCTCTGAAGGGCTTTCAAAAGAATCTCTCATCATAGGTATGCTGACTTGAAGATGGAGTGTTGGACCAGGAAATAACTAGGTCTATAAATGAAACTAAGGTACCTGGCAAGACCAGAGTTTCCTTGGAATGGTTTGCTCCAGGAATCAAATACATTGGCTTTTTCTTCCCAGACACCCAAATAGGCAAATTCCTTAGTAGGGAGTCTGATAAACAAGTATCCACAACTAGGGGGATTTGAGCTTAATGCCAAGAGCTTAAAGAAAAGTGGCAGTCTGAAAACTGATATATATGCAATGCATGTAACATGCTGTATAGTTTTGATTTATAATACAAAGAAAGCTATAGCCAAATATCCCATTTACAGACTGAATTTATTTAGATGTCTATAATCCCAATAGCCACAAATAAAATATTATTACAGTTAACATCCATTGCAGGGAAAAACAATTTGCAATTTCATGAATTATGCAAATCATGACTTTGTTCCTTGTTCTTGGAGATTGGCCAGAATTCAATTTTTAGCCATGATGGCCTTATATCTTGGCTAATACAAGCTAAGCCAATATTTCCACCTATATTTTGGCTAATTGATATCAGACATTTTCACCATTCGATGTTTATAAGCAAGGCACAAGAGCTATTATCATATGATTAGAGACAGTAATAAACCTCAACTTTCTCTACTTTGCTATAGCCTCCAGTGTGGCTATTCTAATCGAGTGTCCATTCAGGGGAAGTTGTTTTTCAGGATACGGTTATGAATTAAACATAGCTGATGCCTTCAGGGATTTCACAGTCTAGTGGGAGATGGCACAGGTACAAAAACAATTATAATTCGAAGTGCAAAGAAAGAGTAGTATCGATAAGGCCTATGAGAGTTCAGAAAAAAAAAACAAATCAGATTTAGAGAGGTGAGGTAGGTATTAAAATGGGAAGCAGGTATCAGTATAGATTTTTTGACAGGGGTGGCATTTGAACTGAATTTTAAAGGGTAAGTTGATTTGGAAATGTGAAGCTTTTATTCATTCAGTCGATATTTAATGAGCATCTCCTGTATGCCAACCCCAACACTAGGCTCTGAGAACATAACAGTGAATCAGATAGATGCGGTCCCCATTCTCATAGAGCTTGTATCTCTTTGAGGAGGGATAGAAGGCAGGAGCAGAAGTACAAACTTTGATGTGCATATGCAAGGAATATTGAAAAATTCTGTTTAACTGGAGTGTTAGGCCCACAAAAGGCAGCAATGGTCATGTGGTTTGGGCTTGATTTGATAAATAGTAGGGGAATACTGGGGGATTTTTAGGGGAAAAATGATATGGAGCACTTAAGAAAGATGAAACTCTGTGTAGGACACAGAGGGGAGATGTCACAAAAGGCCAACGTTGTTGGGGGCTATTGAAAAAATACTTATGATAAATAAT